ATTCATAGAGTTGTAGTACAACCACCTGCACATCCTATCACAGAACATTTCCATCTGCCTCAGATGTTCCCTGGTTTGACCAGCACCACCTGGGGGTGCAGGTGGGGGGTGCCTGGGTCCCTCCTGAGGTCAGAAGGTGAGCCTCGCTCTGTGTTTGTTCTACAAGCTCCAGGATGGGGATTCTGAGTGTTCCTTAGAGACCCGCTAGTGACTTGTAACCCGCCTTTCCTTTTGCACCTGCCTTCTGTGCAGACAGACACAGCCAGGTGCGGTGACAATCTTGGCTAGAAATCAGGACCACACCAGCGCTAGGGGTTTTCCCCAGGCTAATTCCAATCCCATCCTTTCTTCTGATGTCCTAGTTACTGCGTTTATTTTATTATTTCTTCTCCTTCCTTGACTTTCATACCTCTGTAAGCCTTTGAAGCCTACAAAGACCCTGAGGTGGGCAAAGATATGACTGAGACAGCAGAATAGTTGCAGTTTATCCATCACATATATTCTCTCTCTCTCTCTCCATGTCTTATTCTTGCAACATCAAGAAATTTCGAGAAGACAGTTGTGTCGACCCCCAGCAATCTCATCTCCCTTGGGAAGTCCCTCGCAGAGGTGAGCAGGGACGCAGGACGAATGTCAGGACACGGGGATTCTCCTGCCCACAGACCTTCTCAGCAGGCACTGGGACCCACCCTTGTCCTGCAGTTCCGAGGCGGGATCTCAACAAGAAGGGCCACTCAGATGCCGGCGAGAGGGAGACAGACGGACAGATACAGGGGGGAGGGGGACAGCAATGAAAGGAGAAGCAAGAAAAGGCCCCGGAAAGTGAAGATGATAGGATTAGGAAGGGGAGGGAAGAGGAAAAAAAAAAACACACAAAGAGAGCTGGGTGGCTCTTTCTAAGAAAATGGACATCAAAATTTGGTTTTTCCCCCAAATGTGCTTTCTCCCCCCTCCTCTGCTGCTCCCCTCCCCAGCCCTGTCCTAGTTGTACCTAGAGGACTTCCTGCAGAACAAACCCCCCAGGGCAGAGCCTTACCTCTGATGGAGAGACAGCCAGATGTCCCTCCTCCCTCTCGGGGAGGTGCTCCTGCAGGAGGAATCCCATGCCTCGGGTGGAAGGAGGCTGACAGTGCTGGCACGTCCTTTGGGAGCCGGAGCTGGCTGGAGTCCGGTGCAAAGTGTCCGCTGGAGCCCCCTCTCTCCGGCCATCGAGGTCACACGTGTGTCTCTTCTCTTAGTGCTCGGGGGACAGACTCTACCCAAAGAGGCTCAGGGTCGGAGAGGGTCTTGCCCAGGAAGTTCATTCATCTCGGTCTTTCTTGAAGCTGGGCAGGACGTTCCTTGCAAAACCTAAAAATGTGACCGCTGCCTGCCTGACAGGCCTGGCCTGGCTGCATCTCAAGAAACAATGCCTCCTCTCCAGCGGGGCTCCTGGTCCTTTTGACTAACTGGTTTCCCTGGGCCCTGGCTTAGCAGGCAAGTGTTTGCAGAATCAGGGGTCAGGCGAAGCAGCTTCTCTGTAGCAGAGCGGGGAATCCAGGAAGGAGAATCACGGAGACAGTTTAGGGGACCTACTTCCCCCCACGTTTTCCAACTGTCACGCACGCACGCAGCCTTTCCCCAACACTCCCAGCCCCTAGACCAATACGTAGGAGATTCTCCCATTTGGGGAAGCTGGGAATACGTGGTCTCCTGTTTTTCCCGGCTTCCCAAATCAGAAGACAGAACAGGCTGGGCGGTTGCTACAGCAACCAGAGTCCCTGGAGAGCCCAGCTTGCCACACACCCTTGACTTTCAAACATGCTCTGACTTGAAGAGGAAATGTGTTCTGTGAGATGGTGCTTAGAATGATCACAGAGAGAGAGCTGTCTATCCACCCACGTCCCCACATTGGCCCTGCACTGCGGCACCCCCTTTGCCTCCATTCTGGCCTGTATTCTTCTCTTTCTTGTGCACACGCACCCAGGTGTGCCTGAGGAGAAGCTGGAAACCCAGCACCTTGTGGCCTTAGAGCAGGTTTCTGAATCACGTGCTTCTCTGTTTCTTCCTGTCTCATTCAGTCTTGGAGAAGCCAATCCCCCTGTCAAGGTGACCTTGAGCCCTGGAAGGATCTCAGTGAACCGGCCTAAAAAGCATCCTCCTCTGGGCAGGGTAAGGAGAAAACTTGCGACACACAATAGGGGGTGGGGAGGGGGGATCTAGGGCACTGAGGACCCATATTCTTGGGCTTTGGAGCTGAGGCAGGGACTAGAGAGAGAGGCCTTGCCAGTGGGTGGAAGGTGGGGGAAACCAGGCAATGAGCGAAAACTCAGGTCAGTGACTGAAATTCACACATTTGCAAAGCTTCAGCTCCAGTTTCCCACGTGAGTCCACCAACATCCCCCACGGGGTAGGGAGGGGAAGACAGTAAAGTTCCCATTGAAGGGATGGGGAAACTGAGGCCCTCGGAAGGACTGGCATGCCAAAGCTGCAGTGTCAAAATCCAGGTTAAATCCAACGCTCATAGGAGCCACACTGCCTCTTAGGAAATCCTCCAAAGGCCGCCCTCATAAATCGTCCTTGAAGAAAATAATTCTTTAAAATAAAATTCTCATCCAAGAATCTTAAAAGCATAGATATAAAATTAAGAACAGGTTAACAGTCCCTTCCTGGGTGCCTGGAGTGCACCCAGAAAGCTCAGAATGATACATCACAGTTTATTGAGGCAGAAACTAATATACTGGGTCAGAGATGGGGGGTGGGGGTGTGATTCGCAAGGCAACAATGAAATGGCTTAGTCTAAGTGGTAACACCACCAGGTTGCCCTCCTTACCGGAGAGGGCAAGTAGGCTGCAGCTGCATGGGGGCTTGACTCAGCCAAAAAAACAAACAAACAAACCCAACCTCTAACAGATTTTTGCTGCCTGCAAAGAAATCATGCTCATTCTTTTACTCTAAAACAAACATCTTGTTGCCTATAAAGTGGGAAGAATCCCACTCTGGCGTCCACTATGTGCTTCTACCTGTCTGCAAATCCAAGCTGGAGTTTGCATCAGAAAGCCTTAAGGTGACCAGATTTTAACACTGGTAAAGTGGGACACCATTGATAAAACTCATATCCTGGCGAAATAGCCACATGGCAGCTGAAAACCTTCTACCCTAACTTGTCAGGCATTCTTTCCAAAAATCAGGTCTTTTAAAAAATGCCACGGGACACGGGGGAATTTGTTAAAAAGCGGGACTGTCCCGCCAAAAGCGGGATGTCTGGTCACCTTACCTTTACCTGCCAACCTAAGTCCCATGCCCAGGAAGGAGGGAGGAGGGTGAGGGAGAAGCACAGACATCGGTAGTCAGCACCTAGGGTCTGCTGCCCTCAGTGATGAAAAGACCCATTTCAGTGGCATCTCGTCTCAACGTGTGATCAAGTCAATGGCTTGACTCTACTCAGCCACTTCTCTTGACTCTGGGGTCCCCTCCCCTGTTTTGTTTTGGGTTTTGTTTTTTTTCAGTTCCTCTGCACAGGAAGGCACTTACATTAGAGAGTATTTGGTTCTGAGAAGGAACCTTCCTGGAAGACAGAGTCAAGGGATCAGGGTGGGGAGGAATAAATGCAGACCAAAGTCCAATGTCTACCAGGCCAAAACACACCTGGGAGAATCCCTTGTCCACTTGATCCAGGACTGACCTCCATGCCCTCTAGGTGTTGAATTGTAGTTTCCCAATTAGAGGTGAGTAACACTTTAGCAGACTATGGAACGAAAGGCCTTACCAAGGAGTCCTTAGCAGAATGATCAGCAGGTGTTTCAGGACACTGGAAGAAAACAGCAGGTTGAGTACTCTCTCCGTCCCCTCCCTCCCCTATGTCCCAGCTTCTGCCAGCTACCAGGAGCTTGGACATGTGCTTGTCCCTAAACAAAGGACACTAAGGAGCGACAGGACCCAGGTAAGCCTGGTTTCCAGCCCAGCAGCCTCGTCGTTCCTGGAGATAGTTTTAGTCCTAGACATGAAAAATCAGTCTTGAGGGAAGACCAGAGGGGAAGAATGTATGTCCCATCCGCGGGATTGAAGATGGGGGTGATTGGGTGGCACCGTTGGAATTTCAAAATGTCACTCAGATGGATAATCCTTGAATGTTTTGGGGACCAAGCCACAAGGTTTAAAGTCCAGGTATTTGGTGCTGGGTGCCATCCATGAGATAAAGGAGAGGGAGTCAGGAAAGCAAGCAGAGAGAGCTAGGATTTGCGTTTCAAGGATTGAGAAGGAAGCCTAAGAGATGTCGTGTGTTCAGAGGCACCCTCTTGTGCAGGCCGTGCCCGCATCAGTCAAACTTCAGTGAGCATTCTTTTCTCAGCGTACACCCGGTGAGGCGTAGGGAGGTAGCTGGGTCTCCGTTCCCGGGCAGCCTCGGAGAACTCGGGCTTGCCAAGGCCATGGTCGGCTGCCTTCAGGTCGGGTGCAGGCTGCCCACAAGTGACGTGGGTGTACTGGCCCTGCTCCTCCTGCTCCGTCTCGCGGTGGTAGAAGTAGTTGAAGTTGGACACGATGACAGGCACGGGCAGGGCGATGGTGAGGACCCCAGCAATGGCACAGAGGGAGCCCACGATCTTGCCCCCCACCGTCATGGGGTACATGTCCCCATAACCTACTGTGGTCATGGTGACCACTGCCCACCAGAAGGCGTCCGGGATGCTGGGGAAGAGCGTGTCATCGTCATCGGCCTCCGCGAAGTAGACCGCGCTGGAGAAGAGTATGACTCCGATGAAGAGGAAGAAGATGAGCAGCCCCAGCTCCCGCATGGAGGCCTGCAAGGTCTTGCCCAGGATCTGCAGCCCCTTGGAGTGGCGGGAGAGCTTGAAGATGCGGAAGACCCGAACCAGGCGGATGACTCGGAGGATGGCCAGGGACATGGCCTGCTGCCCATTCTGGCCACCGCCGCCACTCGCCTGCTGCTGCTCCTGCTGCTGCACCAGCTCGGTGCCCAGGGTGATGAAGTAGGGGAAGATGGCCACCAGGTCGATGATGTTCATGATGTTGCGGAAGAAGGCTGGCTTGCTGGGGCAGGCGGAGAAGCGCACCAGCAGCTCGAAGGTGAACCACACAATGCACAGGGTCTCCACCAGGAAGAAGGGGTCTGTAAAGACGGAGCCCCCCAGCGTACTGAGTGAGGAGGGGTCCCCCGGCGCGAGGCCCCCAGGGGAGATGTCAGAGTTGAATTTATAGGCATCATCTTCATCCTCCTCTTCCTCCTGACTCCCCCCAGAACTCGGGGACACTCGGCTCACACTGCCGCCACCGCTTCCACCTCGACCGTCCGCGCGGAACTGGGGCAGGGTCTCCAGGCAAAAGATGACGATGGAGATGAGAATGACCAGCACGGAGACGATGGCGATGCCCCTGGCCGGCCCCGAGCTCTCCGGGTACTCGAAGAGCAGCCACACCTGGCGCTGGAAGGGCTGCGAGGGCAGCGGCTTCTCGTCCTCGCCCCCTTCGGGCAGGCAGCCCTCGTCCTCCCGGAAGGCGGCCAGAGCCTCGTCGCCCAGTTGGTAGAAGCGGATCTCCTCCAGGAAGATGTCCAGCGGCACGTTGACCGGCCTCCGCAGCCGGCCCCCGGACTGGTAGTAGTAGAGGATGGCGTCGAAGCTGGGCCGGTTGCGGTCGAAGAAGTACTCGTTCCTGAGCGGGTCGAAGAAGCGGACACGGCGGCCGGGGTCCCCCAGCAGCGTGTCCGGGAAGAGCGACAGGGTGCGCAGTTGCGTCTCGAAGCGCAGCCCGGAGATGTTGATCACCAGGCGCTCGCTACTACAGCAGCCGCCGCCCCCCGCGGCCTCGGCGAAGTCTCCCGCATCCTGTTGCGCCCCCTCCGGCTCACGGACCTCCCCCGGCGCCGCCGGCGTCAGGGATTTCTCCGATCTCATGTCCCTTTGGCCGTGCGCTCCCCGCCACGAGGACGGCGCCCAAGACGCAGCCTCCTGAGCGCGGCACCCGCTTCCCAACTCCCGGCTGCGCCCTCTTTTTCAGGGCGGGGCTCGCGCTCCCGGGAGTTCGCGGTCTGACCTGGTGATGGGTCCGCACGCCCTGGAGCCCGGGCCCCGCGCCCAGTAGGGCCCGGGAGGCGACTTGGCTGCAGCAGGTTTGACTCGGCGCCCCCGGCGACTCTTGGCTGTGGCTGGGATACCTGAACCCGCAAACTGGCGCGCGTGGAACCAGAGGCTCCAAAAGACGCGTGGCTTCGCTGCCCGCGCTGCAGGGGACTGGGCTCCCGGACGCCCGGGGCCGCGCTCCAGACGGGCCGGCCCTTCCCAGCTCCCTCGGCGGCGTCTCCAGCAGCTCCAGACCCCAGGCTGCAGCTTGGTACCAACGGGCCAGATGCGCCTTCCACGCCCAGCTCGGCCGCGACTCCCCGGCTGGGCTCGGCCTCCGCCCTCCGTCCACAGCGGGGCTCTGGCTGGCCGAGGTCGCGGCTCCCGCCGCCACGGCTGCCACCTCCTCCTGGGAGAGCGCCGCAGGCTTCGGAGAGGGCCCTGGCTCTGCCCTGGCGCCCGAGCGCGGGGACCCACCTCCCACCGTTCGAGCCTTCCCTGCCGCCGCCGCAGCTGCAGCGGCTGGGCTGGGCTCTCCGCTCTGTCCTTCCTTCCAACACACACTCTCCAAGTGACGTGGCAGGCCCCGCCTGCTGCCCCCTCCCACCCTACTCCCACATCACACCCCTCACTCAGCCAGGGGCTGCCACAAGCTGGGGCGCTGTGGGAATAGAGAAACCCAATGCCGCCGCCCCCCACTAATCTTTCCCGCGCTCACTAGGCACACGCCTCCCCCTTTCACACCTTTACACACACACACACACACACACACACACACAGCACCACCATCAACACCTGATTCCCTAATACCACACCCCATCCACCCTGCAGTCAGCTCTTCTCCTTTGGGTTGACTGAATGGACCTGCGCAATGTCATTCATCAATAAGAAAACACACCCTCTCTATACACACCCCACCCTGGCACGCCTTATAGAGTTCAATGCAGCACCACTCACCCAAACATTTCATGGAAAGAAATCAAATGACAGCGTGCCCCTCTATTGTTATCAATTCCCATTTGCCAACCACTCTGATCGCTACTTAAGAAGCACCAAACACAAAGGACAGAAGAGAAGCTTTGAGAGCATCCCATTTAAACGGTGTTCCGGTGCAGGTCCCCAAAGAATATAATGTTCCCTTTGCCAACCTGGAAGGGAGAGACGGCGTTGCAAAATGACAGTAGAGAGAAAGGAGCTGAGGAAAGTGTCTCAGAGCCCCTCCTAAGGTAATTTTCCAGGGAAGTGTGCCAGAGGCTGAACGCAGGCCCTGGGAAAGAAAGGAGCAGGCCCTGGGCTATCCTGGAATTACTGTTTATCAAGGAGCTTTTGTGCTTGTTCTCGCGCACGTGCGTGCGTGTGTGTGTGTGTGTGTGTGTGTGTGTGTGTGTGTGTCCACACACACCAGGAGGGAGGGGTGAGTGGGAAGTAGGTATGGAAGACTGTCCACACAAACCCAGAGTAGAACCGCCCCTGTGGGTTTCTGAGACTGACCCTTTGTGGTCATCACCACTTGTCTGTCATTTTGTCATACTGTGGTGACCTGTTGCTGGAAGCCACGTCACTAGTATTTTCAATGCCAGTGGGGTCACCCAAGGTGAATGGTTTCAATGGAGCTTCCAAGTTAAGAAGAGACAGCTAAGAAGGAATCCACAATCACTGCTTCCAGCAGCAGTCCAGAGGTCAAAAGACAGTGTGCCATTAGGTCGATCTGCAGCTGCACAAAACCTCTTTAGGATACTGAAAAGCAAAGTAGTTCCTTTGAGAACTAAGGTGCACCTGAGCCAAGCTATGGTCTTTTCCATCGCCCCAACTGCACCTGAAAGTTGACATTGAACAAGGAAGAGCAAAGAACCCTGACATTTGAATTGCGATGTGGAGAATATTGAAAGTGCATAGACTGCCCAAGGGACAAACCGACCCGTGTTGGAAGAAGTGCGGCCAGAGGGACTTCCTCTTACGTGCTTTTGGACGTGTCAGGAGAGACCGGTCCCTAGGGAAGGACATCGTGTTGGGTCAAGTCGAGGGCAGTGAACAGCGGACGCCCTTGACAAGATGGAGGGACACACTGACTGAAACGATGGGCTCAGACATAGGACCTGTTGTGAGGATGGCGCAGTGTGTCCTTCCGTTGTGCGTAGGATCCTACGGGTCAGAACCGGCTCGATGGCACCTAACAACAGCTCTTTCCCAGAGGAGGAAGCCTCATCTTTCTCCCACGAAGCGCTGGTGGTTTCGAACTGCTGGCCTTGCAGTGAGGTGCCCAAGGGGTAACCAGCTATATCCCTAGGGCTTCTACATAAGAGTGTGGATAAAATATAAAATAAAAATTAACACTACATTGACCTGTATGATTCCATTCAGTTCTCACAGCCCTCGGTAATGTCACAATGAAGATCCACCTAAAGATATCTGGGTTAGGCAAACTTTGCTGCCAGGAAGCAGCTAAGAGCTAAGAATGTATATCCAGCCATTTCTGAAAAACTGGGGGCTAGTGGGGGAGGACTGATCTGATCTTCTCAGACAGCCACTCCCAGATAGTGGGCGTGCTATTTGCTGCTTTGGTGCCTCAGTTTCCCCCTCCCTTGGTTAGCTGTAGCCAAATGTATTGGCTGACAATGACAAGGTGTCTTTGTTCGGCTTCTTGTGCATATTAGGTCTTTAGTAAGGACTCTCAAACCACAAGATGCATATGCGTTCTTTGTGATGCTCCGTGTTTCAAAACCACAATGGTTCTCAGCATCATTCCCTCCCAGAGGAACAGGGGAAGGAGAAAACTAAGGCTCCTGGGTGGGGAGGGGAGAGGTCAGACTAGAAGTGCGTAGGAGAGATGCTAGTGTTAGCACCACTCACAGCTTCCTCATTCTCTAGTCTAGTCCAGCCCCAGGTCTGGCAGGCCACAGCCCCTGCTTCCTCTCCTGCTGCGACTGTCAGTTGCCACTCAGCCTCTCACCTTGCAAGATACTGAGTTACCCTGTGAATGGTTTTCCTATTTACAGACTATGTAATTAAGCAATTTTGGCTTCATGCAAATTTGTTGCTCCATTAGAAAGGTTTCGTTTTGTTATTGCTTCTGAGGAAAGAAACCAAAATAAATACGTAATGCTCTTTTACTTCTGTCCAATGACCTGTAATTATTTTCTGGATCGTGCCATGATTTACCCATGATTCCTCAGGTTTGGGTTTCAAATTGTCTGATGCCTGATTCCCTTTGCATGTTCACTTTCTTCCTTGGCATTTTTAGCCATAGGATGGTCCGCCAAGTCAGGAACTCTTCAAAGCAAACCTGTGGGGAGGAGCTGGATTCTTCCAGAAGGGTACTTGGCCCCGTATAGTGGCAGGAACACTCCCGATTCCCTGTCCCCTGGAGCTACCTGTCAGAAGAAGGGGCTGCCCTGGTTACCTTGGCAAAAGGCTGTGCCCCAAGAGTGTTTCACTGTGCACGGGAGGTTCCCCTGGAGGGAAAAGTCATTAGCAAATTCATGAATCAGAGTTCTGTTTTTAGTACTTTAGTGAAATAGTTTTACTTCTTCACATTAGAGAAACCCTCTGCCTAGATCATTCCTCCCAAGAATATATTAAGTATGAGTAAAATTGCACCTTCCGAAGTGTCAGTTCCAAGGTGAGGAGAGACAAGAGGCTCAGTCCCACATAGTTTCCAGTAACAGGAGGTCATCTTCCCAGTATTCACCGTGCACAATGCAGAGAGAAGCAGAATGGCCTCCAATGCATGTCAATCGTTTACGTTGGACATATATATTGAACAGCTACTGTCAGTCTAGACCGTGCCAGGTGACGGGGAACCTGCAGTGATTTGGACAAACAGCTGTTTAATTTCATTGCAATCGGTGTCACACATCAGAACGTGTATGAATTATTGAATGGAAGACCGAATTGCTCTGTAAACGTTTACCCAAATCACAATAAGAATGCTGATAAAAAGTAACTGCTCTAATGAGTTTACATTCTAGAACAACAAATGCAGTACTCATTATAATACAGTAAGTCTGCAAGGTACTTAATAGACAGGAATTTTAAAAATGACAAATGAGCTACTTATATATTGTGGTAGGGACTTTGAAGAAAAGAACCAGGATGTGTGTTCATTTCCTACATTTGCTGTAACCAGGCAAAAAAAAAAAACGGGATGGCATCAAGCAATAGAAGGGTATTCTCTCGGCGTTCTGGAATGCAGCAGTCTGAATGAAGACCCTGGCAAGGCCAGGGGCTTGCTGAGGGATCTGGGGAGGACACTTCTTGCCTCTTTTTACTTCTAGTGGCCCCAGGCATCCCTTGGCTTGTGGCAGCATTAAGCCCATTTTCTGCCACTATCCTCACATGGCAAACTTTCCTCTGCATCTGTACCCTCTTGTAAGGGTACAAATCCTATTGAATTAAGGCCCCCCTACACCAATGTAACATCTTGTTAATTAATCCCAACTTCAAAGACCACCCTGTTTAAAACTAAGGTCACGTTCACAGGTACCAAGAGTTAGGAGTTGCACCGACCTTTGTGGAAGGCACAAAGCAACTCCTCACAGATGTGCTGCCACACTCACCCTCCTTAGAAAGATTAGTCCCCTTCTTTAACTTTCCTCTGTGGAACCCAGCCAAGCAGAGATGACTGATGAGCCTGACGTTGTGTCCCTTGTCCTACTATCTCACCACTAGGCAGGGTTAGTCCAGGTAGACTAGAGAAATCAATCCAGAGACACTCATCTGTGCGTCAGGGAGAGCTTTATATCAAAGAGCAAATTGGCGATTGAGAAAACATCCCAGCCCAGTGCAGATCAAGTCTAAAAGACTGATAGTAGCCCATAAGATACTAGCTCATAAATTCCTCTTCAGACTCACACAGCACATGTAGTGATGCCAAATGCAGAAAACTCACAGGCTGGTGGGTGAAAAGTCTTGTGGATCCAGTGTTAGTGGAAGCATCGCGCCCTGGTGCAGGTCTCCATGTGGCTTCTCCAGCTCTCTGTATGTGGCTCTTCAACAAGGAGGGGAAGCAGAGAGAGAGGAAGTTCCCAGAATCCTCATCAGAAGGCCATGCCCACAAGGAGGCATCTCAG